GATCAAAACGGTCGGTAGTGGTAGCTGGGAACCATCTAGTTCTTCTGGTCTCAGGGTAGATGAGCCTGTGGCTTGTATAGGCTATTAGCCCTGCAAACTAGTTTCTTCTCTGAGACTTTGGTTTCCTTCTTTCTCTTTTGCTCCTGATGAGTAGAGACCAATAGTTGTATCTTAGATGGCCGTTCGCGAGCTTTTAAGACCCCAGACGCCACTCACCTCGCTAGGATGCAGAACGGGAACTCTGTGGCGCCAATTGACTGAGTTGTTCCGCGAGACTAAGGACCTAAGCCTTCAAACTCAGAAAACCATTCCTGCGGGGTGTTTGGTTACGTCTGAGAAGGGTCTGTAACCGTGTCCTCTGTGTCTATGCGTGCACACACGTATCTGGAGGTACGTGTAGACAGAGATATTTCTATCTACGCACACATACGTCCTCACCCGTACCCATATATACCTGTACACCTATATATGTGACCGTACACTCCTTTTTTGGTTATTGTTGCTTAGAGCTCTTTCTTGACGTAGCCCTCCCCTCTGACCCCGTGCCCTGTACATTCTCACTGCCTCAGCTTCCCTGGGGGGTTGAGAATCTCCCTCCCTGCATTGCAGGCTGAAAGCTGCCTCCAGGTATAAAGTCGGGGCAATTGTGTGATTTACCTCAGCCCTGCCCAACCTGTTTTCCAATGCTTGCATGGTGTCCCACAGCTCTGTTCCTTAAGGGTTAAGTCCAAGTTGAGCATGTCATGAAAGTCCTACCCTAAAGGGCAGTGAGTCTCAGAGGGTCTGCTGCTGAAGAAAGCCGCTCCATCCAAGAACCCAAAGTCTCATCTGACTGCCTCAGTGGTTCAAAGTCCCCTCTTCTCTGCAGCCAACAAGGCAATTCGTGGAGGGGTTCTGAGCTTACTGCTGGACACAAGGAAGGAAAACCTGTGATATGGAAGACCACCGAGAAGTGACTGAGCAATATATTAGTGTTCTAGGGCCGCCGTAACAAAGTACCACAACATAAGGGCTTCAAACAACAGAAATTTATTGTCTCCTAGTCTGGAGGCTGGGAGTTCGAGACCAGGGTGTTGGATGTGTTGGTTCCTGAGGCTCTGGGGCAGAATCTGTTCCTGCCTCTCTCCCGGCTCCTGGTGGCTCCAGGTAAGGCAGACAGGTGCCACAGAGCTGGGTCAGAGCAAGGCTGGGTCCCCCTCTGTCCCTCTCTGTGGCATCTGAGAGAGAGACTCCATGCCCCTGTCATGAGTACATTTCTTGTTATGCTGAAGAGAGCGGCCATTGGTTTCTCTGCAGCACAAGCACCGTGACCCACACAGTGCTCATCTCTGGCTGCTTCGCACCCAGTCTCAGGTCTACCAGACATGCAGGCATGTGACTCTTCCTTGACCTGCAGCCAGCAGGGCCTGTGTGCCAGGCAGCCTCCGTTGTGCTCCAAAAACACTTTCAGGGCTGCCTCCACCCTGACCCTCCAGACCTTGAGGACGCCTTGCCACCAGAGCAGGCCTGGCATCACCAACGTGAGTGCTTGCCCAGCCCTGGGAAAACCTGCTGGGCACTGTGCAGTCTGCTCAGCCAGGGTGGGTGCTGTGGGCCCAGCTGAGCCCCCTGCCCTTGCCCTCCTAGTACCAGGGACTCCCGGGGCCAGTAGGGACCCCTCAGCCTGCCTTGGGCTCTGAGTGAAGACCACACACAGACATTGGCTCTGGTTGTCTGGTGGCTTGGTGTGCAGCAGGCATCTACCTCCTTCCCAGGCCACAACAACCCAGGCTCCCTCACCACCTCAGATCAAGGCCAACCCTCACGGGTGGGGCCACAGCTGCTGTCCTCTGTACATGCTCTGGCTGGGCAGGCCGGGTCCTGCCCAGGCACTGGGTCTAAGAATGAGCCTGCGGGCTTACGCCACCACACCTACCTAGAGCTGCGGGAGGAGGGGTGCTCTGCCTCTGACAGGGAGACCTGGCAACAGTCTGAGGCCAGGGGTTCGAGAGCCTGAGCTGAATGAGCCCCCCTCCAACAGACCTGGCCCTGAAACTGGGTGGGTGCTGGTGGGGGATGAGAGAGTGCACCCGTGCACCTCATGGTCCGGCTCCCGCCAACTCCTGGTGTGTGGTGTGACCTCACAGGGAACACTTGGGCTGGTGCCTGACTCTCGCCTAGCCACAGGACCAAGTGCACACGATGGTCCAGCCCCTCTGAAGACTGACACCATGGGCACTGCTGGGATGGGCCCGTGCCCTGGCGACTGAAGCATCCCCATCCTCCTGTGTCCCCCCAGGCATGCTCAGCTCAGAGGACAACATTTACGGAGGTGCTCACTCTGAGGGCCGAGCAAGTGCAGGTTGGTCTTGTGAGTCAGTCAGTTACTAGGCCTCTGGTCCCTGTCCCATGTCACACAGGGGAGCACTGTACCTGTCTGCCAGAACCTCTGGGCAGAACAGGAGAACACTTCCAGCACAGGCACGAATATCAGCCTCCCTAAGGCCTGTGAGGGCTGGGCTCTGGAATTTGCAGGGTTGGGGCTGAGCTGAAAGAGGGGCTGTAGGGGTTTGGTGGGTGCCCTTGGAGGGGATCGCAGGCTGGAAGTGTCCCCTCCTCTCTCGGGCCAGGTAGACTGCAGCCCCCTCTATGCCAGGGCTGTGTTTTGGGTTCACTGTCAGCACCAACCCCATGGTGTCCTGCACCGACCCCAGCACACTCAGCCTGTGTGCTGACCACGGAGAACCGCACGCCTGCTCCCTGGTCGGCTCCCGCCCCATCCATGGGATCACAGGTGGCCGTGATACAAGAGCAGAGCCTCTCTATGGACTCTGCTGGGACTGGTGCCTGGCTGACGATGGTCCCAGGCCCAGCCAGGTACGACGCTCCACCCAAAGGTCTTTCCCAGAACATGCAGAGGGTCCTAGAAGAGAGCATACTGGCCTAGAGGCCTGAGAGGTGGCACCTCACGAGCTCTACACAGGAACAGCAAGCCGATTGCAGGGCAGGACAGGTCATCCCCTAGGACTAAGCTCAGAAGATCCGGGAGGCTCCCTGATGCCCCTCCCCTTCCTAGGAGCTAAGGGGAATAAGTAAGAGGTGGGAGGAGAGTGTCAAGGAGGAAGAAGCACTGGGTCATCTCCTTTGGCCAGGAAGGGTCGAGGTCTAGAAGGAAGGGATGGTGGGAACATGAAGACAGCGTGCAGGGAAGCCCATTGCCCTTTCCAGGGACCTGCGCCTGACATTAAAGAAATGGTGGTGCCAGGGCGGGGCGGGGATATCCACGCAGGAGATGGCAGAGGGCTGAGAAAAAGGTTGCTCAGAAGAGCGCTTCGTGAGGGAGTGTAGGGTGAGTGTTCTACCCTTCTCTTTATCCCCAAACACCCTCAGACAAGGCAGAGCTTCAGCCCAGAATTCTCTTCATTCCTAGTGGCTCAAGGAGGAGTCCTCAGGTGGTGCAAACGGCTAACACATTCAGCTGCTAAGCGAAAGGTCGGAGGTTCGAGTCCACCAGGAGGCACCTCAGAGGAAAGGCCTGGCAATCTACTCCAGAAAAATCAGCCATTGAAAAAATCTCTGGAACACAGTTCTAGTCTGACACACATGGGTCACCAGGAGTTGGAATCACTCCATGGCAACTGGGCTCAAACGACTCGGCTACAAAAGGCTGTACTTGCAGAGTCTGAGAAACTCTGATGTGTGAGCTCACAGGAAGTCTAAACATGGTCAGAGGCACCCAGCCCTGTCATGGTGTCTCCAAAAGTGCCTTCGTTCACGCCACCAGTGACGTCCCAGCCCTGGCCTGGGTCTCTGGCCCTCACCAAACGCACTGTCACAGCCAATTCCAGAGATAATCACGGATTCACTTCTACAAACCGGAACTGTCCGGTCCTGCGGGGTCAGGTCGCGTAAACAACCCTGCTGCTGGGCAACGGAACACAGACACTAATAGAGATACCTTACGAGGAACGAAAAACCAGCCAAACTGCTCTAAGGAACCCCATTTCCAGTATCCGGAAACGCACAGGAGATCAGTTTGACGTTACGACGTTTTACTTTCTGTTCTCCTCCCCTCTCCTTTCCACCACAGCAGCGCCCTGTGATTCATATGCCGAGTCCTGATTTGCCTCTGAGAACACCACCCTGGTAACATGTTGGAGGAGATAAAAATCGCCACTTTGGCACAATGTTTGTGAGTGAAACTGGGCTCTTGTTCTAAGGACACTACACTTCCGCGTTTGTCCAACAGTCGGCAAAGGCGCAAAGAATGAAAAGGTCCATCCTTCCCATCCCAGGGAACCTTCAGCTGGGCACGAGCTGAACAGGAAGAGGCTGAGGACAGCGCCGTTGCTTGAGGCTGCCACTTAACCTGCTGAAAAAATCCCTGAAACCAAGTCGGGGTGTGGGAAGAGCCGGGCGGTTATCCCCAGAGCTCTAAATGTGCTTCAGAGAGGACTGAGTCTTGGAATTCCCTTTCCTATCGGGGCAAACTTGAGAGCTGCAGGCCTCGGGAAAGAGGGAGGAGAGGTATGCCCTGAAAACTCTCTCTTCCTCGCCCCCACGGCGGTGGCTGGGTGGCTCCCCGCCCCGCCCACGGTGGATGAGAGGCGGGAATCCAGCCCCTGCCTTCGCGGGCTCCCACCGGGACTCGTGGGCGGCCTTCGCTCCTTCCGGAGCCGCCTCCCTCACACGGCGGGGCAGGACCCGCCCTCCCGCCGTCCAGGCGGGCTCCCTCCCCACCCTCCGACAGGCCAGCGGCCCCCTCACCGAGCTCCAGCAGATGAGTGCGTCGGTGTCCGGGTCGCTCACGAGGGTCCACAGCTTGGTCAGGAAGGCCGGGACGTTGCTGGGCCCTGCCGCGCCGGGGCCCACGGGCAGATCCATATCGGACAAGGCAGGGAGAGGCAGAGGCAGCGACCGAGAGCAGAGGACGAGGAGCGGGCTAGCGCCGTCGCCGCACCAGCCACCCGCGCCGCGCCGCCGCAGCCGCCCGCTGCGCACACACAGCCCCGGGGCCTAGCATGGCCGCCGCCATCTTGCGACGAGCG